ATCCCCAGCCCCCCCAAGTTTCCTTCTTAAGGATCATAGCTGACCCAATAAGTTAATGTTTTTATGGTGCAGAACAGCGAGGAGACAGTAGTCCAGTGGATTCCACACTGTGCCTGCAGCAGGGCCCTCTATACTGAGTACTGGCACCAGGTAGAGGGTACCAGGACAGCAAGCCACAGGTGGACATGTTCAATTACTTCTGCAGCCCTTGAAAACCCAATTCTTCGGCCCAGATGCCCCAGAATGGCATCCTCACCGCCTCTCACTCTGAAGGATCCACCATGACACAGCGAGAGCTTGGCATCAAAGACCAACCTTTCTACCTCGCAACAGCGAGATTAGCCACCTTGATGGATGTTAAAGACCATTACTTAAGTGATCCTGAAATTAACAACACTATTTGTCCTCCTTAGGAATTGAAGTAAAACTTTAATCTCATAAAATAATTTAGTCTACAAACAATACAATCTTGGGACTGGCTTTTCTATGAACATGTTTTGTTGCTGCCTGCTAACATGGTACCGCATTCAGAAACTCCTCAGACCAGGAGAGACAGTGTGAGAGGCTGCAGGCCCACTCTGGAGGCATCACGTACTCCAATTAGGGGCAGTGGTCAACCATGAATAAATCGTGCTCTGTGTGGCAGAAACTTTCGTGTTTATTCACAACTCATCACCAAAGGAACCCAAACAACTGGGTAAGAGGTAATTTCAGGACTGACAATCTAAAATGGCCCATGGGACTTTCTCCATCACTGATCTGAGCAATCCATACACCATGGGGAGGCAGTCCGGGGACACTCAGCATCACAGCCAAGCTGAGTCATTAGATGTTGAGAGGAAGAAGGAGGTGGTGACCGTTATGAGCCAGCAAAGGACCAGTGTGGCCATACACACTGATGTTTGCACAAACCAGTTTGGGACAGTCTGGTAAATGCTTTTGGATAATATTGGAAATAGACTTTTGATTAAAGAGTGCTTATCTTCATTTTTCCACCAAAAAGGGCTCTGAAGGAAGGAATATAAAGGGGAAACCCATGGACAGAGGAGGAAAGAAGACACCAGCACCAGACCTCGTTCATCACAGGCTGGGCAAGGTGGACAGTGATGAGGACATTGGTTTAAAACAACAGCTGAAGCTGCCCTCTGCCTCTGCCAGAGGTCAGTGAGGGAAAAGATGAGCGACCGTCCAGAATCCAGAGTGATCAGTGCCTTGGAGAAGCTGGAGATTAGCACGAGGGATGCCCATGAGGGGCCCAGGATCCAGGAAGGGTAAGGGACAGGTGAGGGCTATGGGATGGGGCTGGGTCATCACAGCAGTGGAAGGAGATGAGTCCACTGGCGTTGCAGTAGGGCCATCTGCCCTCCTTCCCTCTCTGCCCACAGGAGGCAGAAGGCCAGGGCGGTGGCCCACCAGGGGCTGGCTGTGTGGTGATCCTCTGAGAAACTCAAGAGCCCAAGACAAGACAGCTGCTTCCTGACACTTGGGGGTTGCCATGAGCCACCCGCTCACCCAGCCTGGTTTCCCAAGAGCTCCTGTGAGCGCCTCCTGACTTCTGTTTTGTTTGTTTTTTTGGTACTAGGGATCGAACTGGGGACCTTGCGCTTGCGAGGCAGGCAAAGGAACCACTGAGCTAAATCTCCGGCCCACTCCTGACTTCTGAATGGGAGGTGAGAGGTTGGCAGATGGCTGACGACAGCTCCAACATGATGGCACTGAAATGAACACCGGGGGGAAAGGGAGACAGAGGGAGCCAGGACAGAGCAGGGGACAGGATGACCGCTTAGGAAAGTAAGAGCATCAGAGGACTGCAGAAAGCATTGCGACTGTTACATAATCCCAGGATTGTACTTCAAATAGAACAGAAAACATGAAAAGAGGCCTTAAAATAAGTGAGATAACTTGAGTAGCAAATACAGAAATATTCTCCAAGACAGAACAAAAGATAAATGCCAGGCGTGGTGGGCAAGCCTGTAATTCCAGCACTCAGAAGGAGGCTGAGGCAGGAGGATCACTGCAAGCCAGCCTGTCTGAACCACATCGAGTCTCTCTCTGCCCCTCTCTCTCTCTCTCCACACACACACACACACACACACACACACACACACACACAAATGACATGGGCCGGGGATGCAACTCAGTGACAGAGCACTTGCTAAGCATGTCTGAGTCCTAGGTTCAATACCCAGCACCACAAAAAATTAATGATGAAGTGATGTCCAACAGGAAAGAAAAGATGAGAATATTCTAAGAGAACCAGAAGATCCAATGGCCAAATAAGACGTGTTTCAGAAAGTAATAAGCATAAACAATAATGCAGGATTTACTATTTGTCCAGCAGTGTTCTAAGTAGCTTAGATATTTTGATGAAGTAATAACTATTATGAGTCCCATCTTATAGATGAAGGAACTGAAGCACAGAAACCTTAAATGACTTGCCCAAGCCACAGTCAGAGAGCAGAGCCAGGATCTGAACTGAGGAGACTGCGCATGCAGGTCCTCCATGGCTCTGCTAGGACAGCAGGGAGGAAACCGGCAGGCACTTTCAGGAGCATTTCCGGAACAGGAGTCAGCAGCCAGACCGGAAGTGTCCACGGAGTGCCAGCATGATGAGGACAAGAGCATCTTTGTCCACTAGGGCATCTGACGTTTCCAGATACTAGAGAAAGAGACCCTTCCACAAGTTTCCAGGGAGACAAATTCCGGAAGGAAGGAGAATCCCAATGACATGGGGATTCTTAGCGGGAACACTGGAAGCTAGAAGACAAAAAGTATTAGGTACGCGATTATGGATGAAAAATATCAATGTCGAATTCTATCCTTGGCCAAACTCTCCTCCAAAAGTAAAAGTCGGTAGGGCTGGGGGAGTGGCTGAGTGGCAGAGAGGCCGCCTAGCATGAATGAAGGTCTGGGTCCCAGGTGCATTGCTGGAAAACAATGTAAAGTGGATGAAGACCCTTCAAGGGGGAAGGACTAAATTGTGCCTCCCCCCCTCCTTGGGCTGCACTGTGATATGCACCACCGAAAGTGAAGCAGAAACCAAGCAAGAAGGCAGGGGTCAAGGAAAGGGGCTTCTCCTGGGACAAATTAAGGAGCAGGTCGGGACAACGGCTGGGCAGCCATCTGTGGGAGGGTGAGCCTGTCTTCACTGGAATGGGATGGGGGTGGTACGGGATGTTCCCGGGGTGAACCTGTCATTTGGAAAAGAAATCTGATAGTCATCTGAGAGATCAGTGATAGAAAGATCCCAGGATAGGTGCATAATAAATTCAGTAAACAGCTGAAAAGTTCCTATAAGAAAGAAAACAATATTAGTGCACTAGCTGGTTAGCTTGTCTCCAGAATTTGCAGAGCTGTTCACAACTGAGCCCCTTAACTGTGAAACAGCTGTTTCAGAAGAAGGCATGGAAAGGAGCAAACTACTTCTGATTTAGGGAAAGGACTAAATCAAAGTTGGTCAAAGTACACCTCTATTGACAAATCCAGAGACGGCAGGATAAAGTATCTAGAAACAGGGAGGTAAATGACAGAAGACAGCTGAAAGTCAGACGTGGCTGCCTCTAGAAAGAAGATAGACAAGGTAAGGGAGAGGTGGGTACCATAGCACGATAAAATATTATGTTGTCTTTTAAAAAGTAACTGTCCAGGTGCCTGGTTTAAAAAGGAATAAAACCATGAAATTCATTTGTTGAGAAAGAAAAGATGGAACAACCAAACCTTGTCTCATGTAACTTTTCAGGAAATGTGTGATCCATATAACGCCTTGGAAGAAGTTGCATCCAGTCTGGTAGTTTTAGGATGAACTTAATAAAACGTGGCAAACTTTAGACGTCCTCCTTTATTTCCATGATCCACACATTCGGGCCAGGTCTCTGTTGGATCCCCCCAGTTCGGCACTCTTTGGTAGTAGTAGTTACAAATTCCACCTGGGCCAATTTCTCTCCTGCCCACCCCAGAGAAACAGCCTGAACGAGTCCTTTTCATCCTGCATTGTCCCCCTACAATCATATTTAAGTGCAAGGATAGAGCACCTTTGTCATAGCTGCTTCTATTGAATTACAATGTAAATGTTGATGGTCGCCCTGGAAACATCGAGTGGCAACAGTTTGGGGAGCAGACTGGGGTGTTGTTTGCAGCTCTGGAACCCCAAGTTGAGACGCACCTGGGCCATCTGAAGCGTCTGCACTCCAGAGCCTCGTTCTCCACCGGACCTCTCCACTCCGGGCCCAGCTCCGGAAAGGATACTCACCTCTTTGGAAATCGGCAAACTCCCCGGTATCTGTTACACATCAGGACACTAGATGTGTTCGTTGCGCATAAGAATGTTAAAAATGCAATTATGCAACAGACCCGCGGTCTGTCCCGCCCCCAGCCCGCCCCCACCCGGGCACGCGGTAACTTTGTCCCTTCCGTCTCCGGCTGGCCGCTGTCAGCAGTCGTCCTCCAGCGGCATTCGATGCCTGGCGCCGAGCTGCGCGTCCGATTCCGGGTGGCTCGGGGTTTCGAGCGAGCGCGGCTCTCTCCCGTCCTCCGTTTGACCCACAACCCCTAGTGTTTGCAGGTGCTGCGCCCCAGCACCCCGTTTCTTCTCTGCCCCTGTCGCCCTCCCCTTCCCCCACAGCCTCGGGGAAGGAGGGAAGCACTGCCCCGAGCCCTGGCCCTGGCTCCCCAAGGCTCCACGCAGGTAAACTTCGCAGCGAGTTAGCAGCGCTTGGAGCAGGGCCTTACCTGAGCGCGCCTCTGCCAATGGCAGCGCACCTGCGCGCGCCCCGCAGCCAATCACCGCGCAGCTCGTCCCTCGGGCTGGTACCCTTTAGTGAAAGAATTCAGCTCCCTGCGAGCAAGTTACCTGTGGCCGCCCGGGTCCGTCGCCTTCCGCTCGGAGCCTGCCCACCGCCCGGCCCGGAGGCCCCGGCTGCCGACCGTCCAAAGCGCGGCCCGTACGAGGCCCATCCCGCCTGTCCGGCTCTGCGAGGGCGCGCGCGGGCGAGGAGCGCGCTGCGGGGGGACGCAAAAGCAGAATTACCTGTAGCTCTTGTTCTGCCATCTCGGCGCTCACACACCTTCACCTGCACAGACCTGAAAGTCCAGTTTCTCCAGAGGCTGAGGCCCCAGGAAAAGGGGAGCGAGTTCATTGGATCAAACATGTCACAAGAGTCGGACAAGTAAGTGGATCGCACGCGCCAGCGGCTGCTGCTACCACTGTGGGCTGATGGCAACTGGTTTGTTCTGTTTTGGGTTTTGCTCTTTTTTTTAAAGTTGCTATTGTTGATTTTTTTTTCTTTTTGGTGCATCCAGACTTTCCTGGATTGTGATTAGGGGCCGAGCCCCTTGCAGATGTGAATGCCCCCGCCCCGGCCGCCCCGGCCTCGGGAGTCCGGCCGGTTCCCTCCGCCCGCCCGCCCTCACGGCCTGCCCCAGGAGCGCGTCGCGGCCGCTTTTGTCCCGCGCAACAAAGAGCTCTCCTCGGGGCGGCCGCGCCATGTTCCCCGCGCCCCGCGCCCCGCGCCCACCGCCAGAGATTTAAATGAACAAGTGCTATCGTTTTTAAGGTGGCGGTGCAGGTGGAGGCCGGGACAGGGCCGGACCGGGCCGCCCGCCTCGAGGCCCGCACCGGGGCGCACGGCGGCCGGAACCGCGCGGAACCCTCGGGCACCCCCACCCCCGCCCCCCGGGCCTGGTGGCCTCGCCTCAGGCTGCTTTGTGAGGCCGGGAGGTGGGGCGAGGGCGGCTCGGCCCTTCGGGTCCAACCCGGGACTCCCCGCCTGCTCCGGCCTGCCGCTGGGTAGGAACGCGGGGAGCGCGGGGGCCGCCTCTGCGCCCTGGAGCCCTCCGGCGCCCACCGGGCTCCTTCCGAGGGCGCCTCCGCCTGGCGCCCGGGCCAGGCCGGCTGGGCTCCACGAGGCCCGGGGGCACGGGAGGGAGGCCCGCGTGTCGCCCAGCGACCCCGAGAGCACGGCTGTCACAGCCCGGGCTCGCCGGTGCCCCGATGGAAGGGGACCCGGCTGCCTGTCCAGGCCCGCGGGAGCAAGGGGTGTTCCACGCCCAGAGGGCTTCAGGCGGCACAGGGGCCAAGGCCTGGCTGCATTCAACTGAGCTGGCCAAGGCCAAAGCTTCTGGGTTTTGTTTTGGTTTGTTTCGGTTTGGTCTTCGTGTCCAAAGTGGCTGCAGATCTACCTTAATTAATCACTCAATGGACATTTAGTTTGCTTCGGTTTGTGCTACACCACGACTCGAATTCCTTATGAGTGGATCGGTTTTTATTTAACCGAGTCGTACCTAGCTCCGATAAGGACAAACAAGCTGGCTTCGCCATGCCGCACCGCCTCGCCGTTTCGGTAATGGCCTCGCAGTTCCTGAGAGCCTGTCACCTGCTCCTGCTTTCCAGGACTGTTTTGTATCCCGGGCAAAGTAATAGGGAGACCCACGGTCGGACTTCTGCCTCTGCCTGTCACAAGCACTGCATGACTTCTTGAACACTTTTGCGAGTTCTAGTTTAGTTTTCTTAAATGAAGGCCTGGCAGGGATGGGGACGGGCGCAGAGGTCCGAGGTCGCTGCGGAAGGGCTCCGGGTTAGATGCAGAGCCTTAGAGGAGTGGATGTCGGCCAGCGCCAATTGCGAAGCAGGTCGAAGGGCGGACGCTCCGGAAAAAGGCTGAGCGGAGGCCGCAGCTTCCTGGTCAGTCCTCCCTGCAGGCCTCGTGTGCGTAGTGCACAGAATTGGAAAGGCAACCGCAGCGTCCCACAGCCTCAGTAAGATCGAGGGAGGGAGTCTGAGCCTCAGAAGGTGTTTCCGGCCAGCCAGTGTGCACTGACGAATACCATCTTTTTATTGGTGTGGACTTTTCAGATGGAAACGTTCTGCTTTTTATGTTCCACCCCGCTGATGCTATCGCTCATTAAAGCAAAGTGTTTAGGACATTCTGTCTTTGTACATATTTTAAAATGCTCTACTCTTCCGCCTTAAATTTTTATGAAGATTTGTGATCTGTCAACAAGCATGTGTATAGGCAAGCAATACATGAGAAACTCTTGCTGCCAAAATGTGTAAAATATATGCAAGGAAGCTCGAGTGTGTAACATTTGATAACATTTGATTTCAGCAGGTAAATATAGGTTTTGATTCCCTGCTATTTACAACACGCTCAGATAGGCATTATAGGAGAAAATAGTATATCTGAGGTGGTCTGGATCCTCATGGGGCTTGCGCTGTAGCAGAAGGTGAGCCAGAAGCAGACAATTTAAGACAACACGATAATGTCTAGCATTACAAAAACCCCACAATAGTTGCGAAAAGTTTGTAAAACTACAAGACAGATCGTGAAAAATGTCCACTTCTCCCTGTCCACCCCCTTTTTTGCCAAGGACAGTTACTTTTGGTTATTTTGTGTGCTTTAGCTGAAGGAGCTCTGCTGTTACTCAGAAAGTTTCAAGCTCTAACTGTTCCGGCAGCCGGGTGCAGGGCGTCCACCTAAGTAAACTTTCTGCACTTCCTGTTGAGTGCGTGTCACTTCCGTGGTGCTGTTCAGAATATCCAAGACCACAGGCATCGGCGGTCATCATCTCTCCCTGGCCACTCACACTGCCACTCTTGCTGCCCGCAAACGTGTCAGATGCCACTGTCCCCTGGGCACCACTGCTGGTGTTGAGAGTTTCTGGGAATAGGATGTGGGCAGTGCCCTCAGGGCACTCACATTCCGGTGCATAAGGGGGAAGCAGCCAGCAAATCCACCAGAGAGTAAATACCTAGTGAATCCTGCAGGACTGAGCGTTAATGGGGAGCCAGGACAGCCTCTTATGAGATGACTGTGACTGTGGACCTGAAAGAAGAGAGACAGGGAGCCCTGAAGACACCCAGGGAGTGTTCTATGAAGCTGAAAGAGCAGTGCAAAGGGCCTGAGGTGAGCATGCTTCCTACATTCTAGGCCTGGGAAGATGCCCAGTGGAGGTGGATCAGAGGCAGATGATGATAGTGCCATCAAGTAAATCACTGCAATCAGTTCTTTATTATGTATTTATTTATTCATCAGAGCACTCAAAAACAGAAAAATTATGCTTATGAATGCTTAGCAGCCACAAGGTGATAATATTGTACTCAATGAGGAAATAAAGAACCAGCAATACTTCCTGTGTCCTACCCCAGTACCACTCATTTAATACTCCTTTGGGCCTGGTGTTGTGTTGCCTACAATGGATGAGATCTTGCCTGCTTCCTGTTTCAAAGGTGGCTAGATGCACACATGTTGGAAGAGCCCAAGGAGTTAGGGTGGAGAAGATGGACAAACTACAAGGGTGTGCTTGTTACCCCGCTTCCCCAACCCCCTTTAGCAGCCGCCCCAGGACTGTACTATGTGCAGAATGAAGCTCACGCCTCTTGCTTTCTGTTGCTCTTGTCCAGCTTCTGAAGCTTTGTCCATCAGGCAACATGGACTCATCAGTGTGTCTGGGAGACAGGACAGGGCATGTGTGGCTTAGTTTCTCATCATGAAGGGAACTGGTAGAGAGAGGCAACCCACCTAGAAATAAGAAAAGGCCAAACAACATGAAAATCTGACTAATAAAGACAAGTGAAGATAATTACATGTGTGCTCAATACTAGGACTCATTAAGGAAGCCCTTCAATAATTGCTTTTCAAAGTTGCCTGATTCTTTTTTTTTTTTTTTTTGGGTATCAGGGATCAAACTCAGGTCCTTGCGCTTGCGAGACAGGCGGCGGAAACACTGAGCTAAATCCCTGGCCCCAAACTTGCCTGATTCTAAAAATATTACCTGAAGCAACTGATAATCTACAGAGAAGACATCTCAGCCCCATCACAGAGGGGATGCATCAGATTCTCTAGGACAGAGCTCAGGGAATCTGCACTTAAGGTTCATCCCAGCTATGCCTAAAGATTGGGTCAGCTACAGAAGTACTCCACAGTACTTTACATGATGAAGACAATTTCTGCGCCATTTTCTGCACACAGCCAGTGTATAAATGAAATGAAACCTGTGGCCTTTCTTTATCTTATGCTACCTCTAGGTGAGCACCTCCTGAGATAACTAATTTGACTATCTTCGTCCTCACCATGCTGTCATGTTTTGTGGAGCAGCCCCTTCGGGAAGGGCTCCTCTGACCTGTTGTGTGCCCAGAGCTGCTAAAGACCTGATTTAACGTGGTGGTACCCAAGCTTGTGTTTCTGGCCAGACCCTGCTCACCTGGCAGCTGGGTGCAGTTAGAAGCCAGCTTGGCCCCTCAGATTACACACTGGAACCTAAAAAGTAGCGTTCATTCTTCTGAGGACAGTCATGCCACTGAGTTCAGATTCTATTTGCCGCATCTCGTCACAGGTGAAGAGCTCCAATGCGGTATTGGCCCTTGGTGACACGATGGGATAGGATGACCATCTATTAGACTCTGCAAAATAAAAAAGGAAATGTAGGAATCTATAGTTGAGTGCAGTGGTCCACACCCGTAATCCCAGCTGCTTGAGATTCTCAGGCTGGACGATCACAAGTTCTAAGCCAACCCGGGCAACCTAGCAAGACTCTGTCTCTAAAGGAAAAAAAGGACTGGGATGAAGCCCAGTGGTAGAGCACTTGCTCAGCACCATCTGCAGCACTACAAAAACAACCCAACAAAGTATAATTGATTAAGAATTATTGTACGTTAAATTGTCCGATTTATTTTTTAAAAATTCTTGGGTAATTGAGGCAACTGCTTCGGTTCTTCACGGCTTTGGTCTAACTAGGTATGAATTCCAGGTTAGAAACTGAACGCTTGGGGGTTCAGTAGCGCTACTTCCCTTCCCCCCCCCCCCCCCTCCTCGGTGCTGAACCAGCAGGGCCTCCCTCCCCGCTGCTTTCCCCTTTCCCTGCCTGTCCCTTGCCGGCGCTTTTCCTGCCCTATCACGAGTGGGCGTGGAGACCCACAGAGAGCTCTCAGGGGCGGGGGGGGGGCACACTCCTTCCCTCCGTGCGCAGCCCCAGGATTCCGCGCCGCCTCCGGCCTGCAGGTCAGCTGGTGGCCGAGGGTGACCTCACCCCGTCTGACTCCCCCGAGGAATGAATGCCAGGGCTTTTAGAGTAAGGAGGGCCCTGGTCGGTGTCCGGGGACTCGGCACACACCGGCCTCCGCTGAATCCAGGGAGTGGCCGGCTTGGCACAGCAGTGCTGGAAAAATTCCCCAGCGAGCAGCGACAGGCTGCGGAGGAATCTGCTCTGCCCCGGGACTGGTGCGTTGCTTAGTGACGGCGCCTACGGGGGAGAGTCCCGGCTTCAGGGCCTTCACGTTCCGGCTTCCCAGAGCCCACTGACTCTGCGGCCCCCGGCCTGCGGGTTCCTTAATTAGAGACGCCCCGGCTCCTCGGTCGATCCTTTTTATTTTCCCCTTAGTACATGTTGTACATGTTTCGTTTTGCTTTATTTTGTGTACTGGGGACATCCAGGGCCTTGCACTTGTGGTGCTAGACCACACACTACCTTCCCAGCCGCGAGGCACCTTTCCTGCTGCACGTTGCTCCTTTTTGTGGTGCTGAGTGTCAACCTAGGGCCTCGAGCACGCTAGGCAAACACTAACCCCCCAGCCCTGCTTGAGCTGCTTCATAGTAAATGGTAAGCAGGACTGGGCCGTCACGGGATAAGCTAAGTAAGGAAGCCTTCCTCTTCCTCGGGGGTTTTTAACCCCAACCCCAGCGCCCCAGGGTGTGGGGAAGAAATCTGGAAGTGCTGAGCAGTAGTAACATTGTACACACGGTGGATCTGAGTTGCCTCATCCAATACCAGCTGCACACGCACTCTGGGCCTATCATGGAAAATTCCAGAAACGCTGGTACATTTCAGGGGCTTTCACCTCGTCCTAGAAGTCTGGGCTGTGGAGCTCGCTGGTGCATTTGAATGGGGATCCAGGGACAGCAACTGCCGCTGCGAAGGGCCCTGTTTTACTTTGTAATGACCTGGCCAGAGCTTTGTGGGGTGCACGGTTAAGTGATCTGATTTCACTCCCTCCCAGGGAAACGCTTCCTTTACAAGTGCGAATGCAGCCGCCTCCCGGCAGAAAGGGAAAGCGAGCCTGGCTGCCTGGATTCTGGTAGATACACTTGCATCTCCTCCGAAGCCCAATACAGCTAACTCCGAGGGCCACAGGCTGTGCGTTTTTAAACAACCGTGGACTGGAATGCGGTCTTTGGGTTTTTGTTTGCTTTTGTGCTGTGCATGCAAGCACTGTAGCACCGAGCTCCATACACTCCCAGCCCCGCCCCAGGCCTTTCCAAGAGGGCGCCAGGTGGAGGTGAAGTGGGGAGCAGAGGAGAGGCCGGAGGAACTTCCGTGGAGCCTCCGGCCGCACAGCCGGGTCCGGCTGGGGTGACTGGCTCGCTTCCCGGGGAGCTGGCTTTGATTTTAACTCGAAGCCTGGAATGCTCCAGCCCGGACAAACCTTGAGGATCACGGCAGCCACGCTGGCACCAAGTTTAGGATTTGGAGCTGAAAGTTTCAAAAGGAAAACGTCTTTCCCGGGTCTTCCTGTGCGGCTCGATTTGGACCCGGGCAGCCTGGAGAAGCAAACTGGCTTTCTCTCCGTAGGCGCGGGGCGGGGGAGCGCTGTTTACCTGCCGAGCAGGGCGGGTCTGTGAACGGCCTGGCGCGGTGGCTGCAGGCCGAGGCGAAATGGACCTTCCTCCCACCTCATTGTTCTGGGTCTCAGTTCAGCCCTCGCCGCAGAAGGACCGCACTGCGCTTCTGCGACATCCGTCAGCCCCGCCCCTGCACCTAGGGGATCTAACTTCTCAAAGAAGCCAGCGACAAAGTAGCTGTGGCTCCTTCTGTGTTGCCCATGAGGCAGCAAAGCTGAGCCCAGACGCCGCTCCTTTCTCGGGGTTTTTCATCTGGAAAATGGAGCCGAAGAAGGCGATCTCTGAGGAGAATCGCCTCCCCAGGTGCTGTCTCCTCCGGCCGAGCTGCAGGAGGGACGGTGACAGGCCCGAGGAGTGTCCTGTCCACGAGCCCCTCCCCTTCCCACCGGCCCAGGTAGTGACTGGACGGACACAAAGCCTGGCGGGGACAGGCTGGGAGGGCCTGCGGACCGCGGAGGGGACAGTGGTGGGACTGGGGCTGGGAAGCTTGGGGTGGCTCCTCTGTGGCCTTCTCCTTCTCCTCCTCCTCCTCCTCCTCCTCCTGCTCCTCCTGCTCCTCCCTTCTCCTCCTGCTCCTCCTCCTCCCCCCCCCTTTGCCCCCTTATCCACCTGCTCCTCCCTTTCACTACTCTTCCTGTTGGTAAAGCGTAATTCCAGAGCCTTCACTGTCAGAAAGCATTGGCCCACCCTTAGTCTGCGGAGCCCCCAGAAGAGGTATGGAATGATGTGAAGGTAAGGACACCCACCAGGGCTTCGGCTCAAGCACAAGCTGACACATTATTCCATTTTGTGACACAAACTGTCATTCATTTAGGTCAGGAATAAAATCTCCTCCCCTGCTACCCTATCCGAATGAAGAGCTGAAGTTGGAGAAGTTGGTTTTCTCTGCTCGGTAGCCTGGGAAGGTTCTGGTGTTGAAAGAATTTTGATTAAGTCAAATTTTATGTACTGCTTGCATGCCAGGCTTTCAATTAATCTTTTAGATGTTTTGGAGTCTTTGTGTATACTTTAAAAAAATATGTATATCTTCCATATTTTGATAAAAGACAAATGCCACAGTTGCAATGTGGTCGCAGAGAGGGGAGGGCAATTCAGACATGTGCTACAAGGGGCTAACAAGCATTTGCAATCACACTTAGCCTTGTAATAATCCAAGGAACACAGGTTACATATAGGAGCCTCCAGATTCCCCTGCGAAGGTGGCCCACATTGACTGAACTGGGTTTGGGGAAAACACCCACAGTGAAAGTTTATAAACGACTTCAAACTTTCTGGAAGGGAACTGGGGCTGACTGGAGTGGGTCTATTCCTGAGCACCCGGATTCCAACTTCAGGGATTTACCTGAAGGAAGTAAGGATAGCATTAGCTTAGAAAGTGCAAAATCAGAAAACCCTCAATGCCTGGGCACAGAGGGTCTGTGCAGGAAATCACAGCTCAGGGAGCGGAGGGGCCCGAAGCAGCATCTAAGTCACATTAGGGAAAAGGCATTTGTGCTGGGAGAAAGCCTCAGAGCTCTGCAGCAGGCTTCTGTGCGGTGGGGGAGCACGCGATTGCGCGAGGCGTAGACACTTCTGGGCCTTCCCTGTGCCTGTCGGCGTTGTCCTGTTCGCTGCAGTGAGTCCGCAGTGCCCTCGCCATTAAGGAGGAGGTTAGAGCTCGTTTGTAAAAACAGCCACTGTGCCATGGAGATGCTGAAAAGCAGCACACGCGCACCCTGAGTAACATGCAGGGACGCACACAGAGCCTCTCCTCTCCCCTTCCTACCCTCGGGTGCTGCGTGACGCCCTGACTCCACCCTGACGTCCTCGGGACCCCGGGGCTCGGCTTCAGCCGCTCTCAGTCCTTTTGCGGCATGGGAAGCCGGGCTCTGACTTCCTTTCCAAGTGGAAAGCGGCGTAGACAAGTCTTGAGTTTTTTTGACGTTCTTACCAACTAATGTTTCCATGACAGACTCGTTCTGCCCAGGGGCTGAGCCTGTGACTCATCCACCTCAGCAAGCTGGTGTGCAGCCTGGTCTGTCGCTGTGGGCAGCATCAGGAAGCTCTGTCGCACCAAGGCTTGCGTATCAGCCTGTCCAGGGCCCCCACCGCAGGGAACACAAAGTACACCATGCGAACGCATTGAAGAAACTGGCCCTTCGGAATTACCCAGGCGTAACTCAAGTGGAAGAGGCGGGGCGTGCGTGGTGGTGCACACTTAGAGTCCCAGCTAGTAGGAGGCTGAGGCAGGAGCATCACTGGTTCATGAGCAATTTAGCAAGATGTTGTCCCAAAGTAAAAAGGGCTGGAGACGCTGCTCAGTGGTAGTAGAGCTCTTGCCTAGGCTGTTTTCAATCCCTATTACTGCAAAAAACAGGAAGTAAACTTCTATAAGATGAGAACCCAACTAAAGCAGTCTCTGGCTGTAGGAATCAGCAGAATCTGCAGAATAAAAACTCGTAGTTATGCTCTATAGTTGCGTGTTCAAAAGTGAGGTTTGCAATCGCCCCATCTTTCCCATTCCTACCTTTCTCTAGGATCCTCCATCCAGAAGTTTATGCCGTCTCAGACGCTGTACTTGTATTTTTGAGAACTGGTTATGTTCCGTGCAGGCTGAGAGTCTGAATAAAGGCGTACGTTCTTCAGCAGTCTTCGTCTTATTCCTACTCTTTTGCTTAGCTTTTAGTAGACCTGTGAGATGGTGGGCTGTGGTGTCTTCAGCCACACAAAGACACAAGCTTGGGCTGGGGATTTAGCTCAGTGGTTCCGCCGCCTGCCTCGAAAGCACAAGGTCCTGAGTTCAATCCCTGGTACCATAAATAAATATAAATAAACACAAGCTTGCCCAACCACCTGGGGACACAATTCCTATACCACTGCCAGCATCCCAAGGGTGAGATGACAGTGTCACCCTTTGCTTCCCCGTCCTTGCCTCCTGCCTGAACAGTGATGCAGCCAGGCGCTCGGGCCCCAGGATGCATCTGGCTCCCGTGGATGCGCCACGACTTTTTCTGGCCGGGGTGGGTGTGGTGGCCCTGTACCCGCTGTCCCTGCATATGGAAGAAGCTGGAAGTGCTCTTGTGATTCTGGGCTTGGCATCGCATCGTGTGCTGGACGGGTAATTTAGCAAATTGCTGGTTTTGTATTAGTCTGTGTTTTCGGCATGATGGTCCATCCCTTGCCGGGAGCTCGTCCACAAGCACCCTCATTCTTTCTTCATCTCTTCCACTCCTCTCCCTCCTCGGTCCCCAGCCTGCCATTTTGGGTCCCCTCCAAGTGACCTGATGGGATCATCCTGGCTGCCTTCAATGCAGCTGTTTTGGGGTACAGCTTTGTATTTGCATCTGTTTTGCTTTTTAAGAAGCATTTCTCGGGGAGCCTTTTTTCTAGTTGTGAAAATATAAGTGCTCATGAGGAAAAATGGAGACCAGAGAAAAGTACAGGGAAGAAAAATCAGTCATAATTCTGGCACCCTGTGAATGCTTTGTGTGTTTTCTTACAGTTTCTGTATGTGAAACGTGATACAGTCTCTGAATGTGGTTATAAAAGACTAAGCAAATCAAGGCTGACCTTGTTTACACCAGTGTGCATTTTCCACTCAAAGCTCCGTTTACTGGCATTTTACCAGTCTGAAGTACTCCTCATTATAGCCCATAAAGATGAAGTCTACCGTCACCTGTTTTTAACATTTAGATTGTTTTCAGCTTTCATATAATAAGTCAGCTTTATTCATAAGTCTTTGTATCAGTCTATTACTCATTAGAATAGATTTCTGGGAGTATGAGAATGAAAGACAGGAACATTTTTAAGTCCTTGATACACAATTGAAAAGGACCTCTAGAAAGATGTAATTGTTTATGTTCTCCCAACAGTGCCTGAGGGTGTCTTTCTTATACAGTCTCGCCAGTGAATGAGAATTACTTTTTTTTCATCTATTTGAACAGCAAAAAATAATGCAATTTTATTTTAATTTGTAGTTTAATAATTGATGAAGTTAAACATTTTCCCAGATTTGCAGTGATTTATGTTTCCTTTTATGTTTTTGTGTTATTTGTTTTTTGAGACAGGGCCTCTCACTATGTAGTCCAAGCTGACCTTGAACTCCCAGCAGTGCTCCTGCCTCAACCACTGGAATGCTCAGATTACAAGCCTGTGCCACCATACCTGGCTTGTGTTTTCTTTTGAATGAAGATTTTTATTTATTTCTTTTGGCTGTACCGGGGATTGAACCTAGGCCCTTTGCACCAAGGTACATCCCCAACCTTTATTATTTTCTATTTGAGAAAGGGTCTCACTAGGTCTCTAAGTCACCCAGGCTGGACTTCAGTTTGCGATCCTCCTGCCTCAGCCTCCCAGAGTGCGGGGATGACAGGTGTGCACCAGGAGGTCTGACTTCAGGGAAGGTGTGGCTCTGGTCCTGGTCCCACAAGGCTGAGGACTGTGCCTCCTGAGGGCATCCACCCAGAGTGCCTCCGGCATCTGTGCAGCTGCCCCCCGTGTTGGCCGTGGCTTGTTCTCATCACTCACTGAAAGCAGCCAGGGTGTTCACACTTGTGCCCTTGACTTGTGAGACCTTGTACACCTAAAACTATCGACTTTTGGCTGAATTTCTGGCTATCACTTCCTCCAAGTTGAGTTCATGACTCAAAAGACGTTCACAGGTTCGTGTTGTACGTCAACGCTATTGTTTTTCTCTGTGTGAGTCCTTTTGTTCCTTTCAAATACTGAAAGTTTGGATACCCCATAGACATAACTCATTAAAACTTTTCCTTTCTTTTAGTCTTTCTTTTGGGTGATTTAGAAGGCCTTGTAAGAGGAAGTTAGTTCGTACTTAATCTAGAAATAGCTGTCTTCTACCACTCAGAGATATTAACCTTGTCACATTTTGAAATCTGTATTTTCACTCCTTTTTCTACACTTGTACCTGCAAATACACTGGCGAAGAAATGGGATGGTGATTTATATACTGAGTAGTAACTGAGTTTTTGTTTTTTGTTTTTGTTTTTGTTTTTGTTTTTTGGTACCGGGGATTGAACTCGGGGCCTTCTGCTTGTGAGGCAGGCGGCGGAACTACTGAGCTAAATCCCCAGCCCGTAACTGAGTTTTTGAACTGGTATTTACTATAGATTGTTTTCCATTCTGACATATTTTTAATAGGCCTTTTAAATTTATTTAATCATTTCTCTGTTGTGCATTTAGATTTCGTTTTTTACTGAAGTCAATATTTAAGAAGTTACACGCATAACTAAATCTTTATGCACTTCGGAACTATGTTCCTGACCAAAAAACATGCACTTTTTGGAGACATTTGGTTTGCTTTTCCAAAGTGCCACTCAGATGTCCTCACCTAAGTGACTCTCCTGATGACACTGCTTAACAAGGTGGAGTCCATACTCCCCCCGCCCGCCCCGCACCGGTTCATCCTCTTTCCCATCCTTGCCAATTCGATTGGTTAAAAGTGGCAACCTGTTTTGAAATGCAGTTCTTTTTTCCAT